CACAAAAAATGACTCTCCAGCTATAAAAAAGAGCCAGCGGGCTGTAAAGGGAGCGCTTGAAAATGTCGCTGGTTTCTATCAAGCTTTCATTTGAACATTTGCAGGGCCCCTAGTCAGGGGGTCATTTCAAGTCCCTGCTGCGTGTTACGTATATTATACAATTTGCTGGGGAAGCTCCCAAGATATTTAGACTGGCTGCACGTGTTAGGTAACGGTCACGCAACTGGTCAGTCATGCAGTGAATTCAGGCCAGCCACGCATGCAAAGTAAGACCGGTCATCAGGACAAAGTAATTGTCACACGATGAACTGGTCGGCTGAACAATACATTTAGACCAGCCACGCATGCAAAGTGAGATGGGCCACAAGTGCAAAGTAATTGTCATACACTTAATGGGGCAACTGCACAATAAATTTAAACACATGCAAAGTAAGACCAGCTACCAATGAAAAGTAGTTGTCACACAATGAACTGGTGAATTGCACAATACATTTTGACTGGCCACAGATGCAAGGTCATTTTCACACCATAAAATGACTATCCCCATATAAAAACAGCCAGCTGGCCACAAAGTTAGTGCTCGAAAATGTGTAACAACTCTATAGCTGGTTTCCCTCCAGTTTAAATTTGAACATGTAGAAGGGCCCTCAGAGTCCATTAGGAAGTTTGCTTGGGGACATTTTCTTTCCTTTCATTCCCAAAATGCTGCACATCAAATCTCAGTCATTTGTACCCAGACTCAGAGCTTCATTTATTAAGCAAACGTGTTGGGGTGAAATCTCGCTCGTAAAGCTCATTCTTTTTCATTCTCATTTTATATTGACTCTAGCAATTTGGATTGTACACCCTATTTCAGCAACAGTAGGCTGGCCAGAAGAACCAGTTCCTAATATACTGGCATTTCAGGAATCTTTTCAAATCATTTCAGTGGAATGCTTTCCATAAATATGGGAAGAAAAAGCACATAAAAAGAATGCAAAATATTTCTTTGCTAATAAAGCAGAGTTATAACCTCTTTCTGAGGACACAAACGAACAAACCCCCCCTGATGAAAACCAAGCAACCACTTCCTTAAATTTCCATTCTTCTCTTTACGAGTTAGGAAGGAAAGCAAAATTGAAGGAACTAGAATAGTGGTTCCCAAACTCTGACAGATTGCACACCACCAATTTAAAATGATACGACCTTAATTACTACTAGCAAATTTTTGTCATATAAAGTAGTTATAATACATCTGTTAATGTGTAGCACTGACAGGTTGTCTGCGTATTACTGGTGGTACACATACCACAGATTGGGAACTGCTAGACTAGAAGATTTGGGCCTTTTGCAAAGTTATCACAGATTTTTTGATGCTTGGTAGGGGTTTTTACTCATGTAATGATGTGAGAATCTTGGCTTTGTAAAAAAAAATTAGTCTCTAACACTCGGGATTTGGAAAAAGCTTGAAAGCATGAACCCTTATAAAAAGAACCACACATTTATTATGTTTCAATATAATGTGATTCTTATTGGCAAGCTCATGCTTTTGGGGATGATTATTGATTTCAAACAGTTTGGAGCAACATGCTTAATTGAGGATCAGTTACATTTTATTCATAGAGAAGGAAGTAAAATCAGATCACAGTGGTTTCAGTTAAATTCTGAGTAGCTGAAACAGTAGAGTCACTCCAAACTTACACTGGCACAATTTATATAATTTATCTTTACCCTTACACCATCAGGAGAGTCTAGTATTATAGCTGAACCAGTTCATAAGTTTTAAGGTGATGACAACAATTACCAGAAAATTATTCACTGGAGCTCAAAGACATTACCATTAGAACCCTTGCAGTTTTCATATATTTTCCTTACATTGATGTAGCCTTTTGGATAGCTGCCTTTTTTAACTAAAATAATTTCAGAGCTACAGTTTGTAGCAGATTCCCTTCCACGTGTAGTTTTAAAGGCCAATTTGATCTCATTTCCTAAGCAACATACCTTTTTCATAGGTCTCAGAATACTTGCTGTCTATTTCCATATATCCCAGGCCTCCAAGAGAAAAAGAATGGCCCTTACTTGTTTAACGAGAAACTAAAACTTGCAGGAAACAAATGCAATATCTCCAAACTATGTTTAAAATAAACAGAAGTCCCCCAAACCAAAATAAAGAGAGTACAGAACTAGCTTGACCCCTGCAAACTGCCACCTCATTAGCTTTGTGTTCAGTTTCCTACCCCAAACCCGTTGTCATTCATGCTAGTCTAGATCTTCTGCCAGAGAACATGTTTTGTTTTGTGACCCCACCACTGCAAAGATATGTTCATATATGCTGAATTTTTTAAGTCAATCTTTGCAGGACTGTTGTATATGCAGTACTTTCAAGCAAGGCTCAGGAACTCTAGATTTTACTACAGTATGAACACGAGAATAGTTCTTCAAATCAAAAACTGTTATGTACACTACAAACAAGGAACTCATCCTCCAGGTTATTCTGAATTACAAAAGCATAATTGCATGCAGAGGCTAACTGGGAAACTCCACAATCTGAGCAATGGAGGTGCATGGGACACTACTGACTGCTGTGCTGCAAGTGGCAACAACATGGCTGGTCACCAGCTGCAGCAATGGCTTTTTCTACACCCCACCCAAGTTCAATGGTGTCTGGGACTGCCTACCCTGTCACCCCCTCACCCCCCATCAATTATACTACTGATTGTATATTTAAAAGGCTTGAATGTATGAAATATTTTTACAGAACATTTCTTACAGGGTCTGCAATTGTTTAGGCTCCTGTAAACCTAGGTTTAAAAATACTGCTCCCCAGGAAACTAGTTGCTATTCTTTCCCAGCTGGCCATTATTTCAGGCTTAATATGGGGGCTAGTGAGCTTATGAAGGGGTAGCCTATAAAACTGGAGGGGCTTGTTCCTCTAAATTCAATTTTTTGGCAAGGAGCTTAGTGCACCTGTCTTTTATTGAGAAAGGGGCTTAAGGTGAAGGAAGGAATATAATAGAAAAAATATTATGCTTCTGTAACTCATATTTCAAAGCCTTTTACAAAAGGCTGGACTGTGCCTTTAGGCGCAATCCCAAGGAAGGAGTGGTTTGAAAATTGCATCACCCTAGGAGTAGCCTCAAAGAGTGGTGGGCTTCAGAGACACCAACCCCCTCTTCTTCCCCGTCAGAAGGGAAGGAGGTTAGAGTGTTAGATTTGGCTGTTTGGTGACCTGGGTTCAGTTCCTTGATCTGCCACAGATATGTTGTACTTCACTTATATGCTTGCCAGATAAGTGAGTGATTCACTTCATAAGCTTACTTGCCCCCTATTAAGTTTTCAATAAAGGCTAGTTGGAAAAGGATAGCACCTAAAAGTTTCTAGGGGAGCAAAATTTTAAAACTTAGGTATTGCATAATGCAAAGCCAAGCCCAATTTCTTAGATGCTGTTAATCAGTGCTTCTTAAAAGGTAACCTACACATAGATTAAGTACATGGCATCTTTCAGCCTACCAATTTACTTAGTAATTGCACCCTGGTTAATTGCCTTCTAATTGTAATTCTCTGCGTTGTAACTAAGCAGACTCCATTTAACTAGCCAGAAAGGGGAAGCATCTGTCAAAAGGCTGCTGTTCCAAGCCTTGGACATAAGGCCCAGTTAGTTATTTACAAGGTTGCTCTGCTTTCTCATTTTTAAAGCTACTAATAACAGTCATGCAACTGATTAGCTCCTTCTGTCATTTTCATGGCTTCTAGTAGCAATTCCAAAATTATTAGAAGGCTTGAGAATGAGTCAGTTCCATGGCTATTCACGCTACATCATTATGGTACTTAAGGAACCTTGCTTAAAGCTCTGTCACTGTTGGGGTATTAACCCTGAAACTATTAAAAATGTTGGACTCTAGTCAGCTTTAAGGCTGCTGATACTGCAGAGCTGCTAATACTACAGACAATGCTCCTGAGGTATACAATGCTGTCAGAGCTGTATCTTAATACGCATTCTTCCCGTTAAGTTTGGATAGGCTGTTCTCTGGTTTCAGGGGACAGGGCAAGGAGCAGTGTTCTGAAATTGCAGCAAGGGGAATGTAGATTGGATACAAGGAAGAACTTTCTCGCTATGAGAATGGGAAAACATTGGAACAGGCTACCCAGACAGGTTGTGGAATCTCTATCCTCGAAAGAGGTTTTTAAGAGAAGGTTAGACAAACATTTGGCTGGGATGGTTTAGTCATGGTTAATCCTGCCTTGAGCAGGGTGTTGGACTCGATGATCTCTCTGAGGTTTCTTCTAGCCCTACTTTCCTGTGATTCTAACTGCATAGGCCAGATAAGTGTGTAGCCGTTTTTTTTGGTTGTATGCACTATAAAAAAGAGGCTATGCACTTTGAGGGAGCTCAGGGAACTGTTGCATAAAGCTATCAGCCTACAGTGATGATTTGTACTCTAATTCTGGCACTTTCCCCCCTATTCAGAAGTATGGTGCTCATCAGGTATCCCCACTGATATCTTTGGGGCCTATCCACAGGGTGAAGTGCTGGTCAGACTGAGCAGGGGGAGCAGGACAAAGTAGTAGTGACTTGAAAATAATCCAACCAAACAGCCATAAACCCTCAACATTGTGAAGAACAGCACCTGACAAAAGCATGTATTTTACTGAGATAGTGTGCTAGGCTTAGACTCCACTACAAAGTTTCGATGGCAGAGTCTGAGTTCTTTGTAGTGTGTTAACAAGCTTCTCCATAGTGGCAGATGTCTTCTTTCTGCTGGTAGAGTTAAATCACCTGTGCTGATCAGAATAAGGGTTCTGGATTTGTCTGGCAGTTGTGAGAAAACATATGTTGACACCCCTGTGCTTTGTGCAAGCAGGCATAGCTCCTTTAGCAACTTGTGCCTTCCCATTCGAGAGTGTGAATGTGTGCTGGCAGAAAAGCAAGCTTAGACAGGTCTCAAGAAGTGACATTCTCTAAACCCTTCAAAAGCTATCAGGGATTCTTATGCCTTATTCTAGATATTTCTAAAGGGCCACCCTGAAGTGAGTGGATGAGCTCTAGCTTCGTTGTGGGATCTGGTACTGTAGCAGTGGCACTGATTTTGAACTCAGGTACTAGTATGTCCACATCTTTGTGTCTAGAAACAATAGTGCTGCCAGAAATAGCAATGCTGAGCAGTTTATTTAGTACTGTAATGAGTTTCCAAGCTGTTGTCCACGAAAGGGAGTGGTTGCTTGCTATCACTAACTACCATAATCTATGGTAGGTTTGCTGCTTTCTTCAAGCCTAAATGAAGGGGATTTGTAGCTAAGTCTACTGGACTTTGATGCAGTACCAGCATGTTCGTTGGACCTATGTACAGTACATGGAGGAGGAGGATTGGATGAGAATTAAAAGGTACAAAGTTCACATTTAATTTGAAGATTTTTCCTCTGCACTTAAATGTGAGAAACTGTTCCTGTGGTTTCAGGTATAAAATGTCATACTTCATAAGGAGAGTGTGTTTTAAATCTCAGCCAGATATGAAATACCATGCCACACTCCACTTCTTTCTGTTAAAAAGTAAAACCCCCAATTGATGTCTTATGAAATAATTTGTTCAATAAAATTAAAGCTTCCAAAAATTGACTCCATGGTACATGAACTCCTGATGCCCTGTCATTAGGAACCAGCTGGTAGTGATATATCTATTGATTTTATATTGTATTGACTACTGCTTATCAACATTCAGTGACTTCTTTATTTAGGATGTCACTCCGAAAGATATCTATCACCATGATATTAAAGTCAGTACAGATTGCAATTAACATACACCAGATGTTTTTTGTGAGAAAAAAATAGAACTAGGGATTGAACCTAGACCTCTGGCTATTATCCAAATAATTTGTTAGCAGAGGTTTTGGAATACTAGTTGCTTTATCATTTGGCTTCAGTCAGTATTATCTGTAATAATACAGTTGATCAATAAGGCGGATAAGGGGTCACTACTACATTACATAGTAAAACAAGTATTAGAAACTAAATAGTTTTATGCCAATCTGTGCAACACAAAAGAGTTATTTTGTGCAGTGATTTAAACGGCTACACACTATTTTATTTCAATCCATTTAATGTAAGCAGACACTATAACAATTTTTGCTTTTAGTAGTCACTGGACAGCACATCCAATGTATACTTTCCTCTTAGTGTTTGTGATAGACCTGAGGGCCGGATTCAGCTGTTCTTTTTCTATTTGAGTACTGTATTGTGTCAGTCTACAAGACCCCAATCCTGAATGATCACAGATGCTAAAACTACAATTAAGTTTTTTGTTAATTGTCATAATTCATAGTGTCCATAATTTTCTCATTGACACTTCTTGAGGTAGAAAGATAACTGAGTCTGTGGATCCTGTAAACAGTAAGGAAACAAGAAATGTGTGTACAGTTGGGGGTGCCTGCCAGGTCAGAAATTTGGTGATGGGAGCTGCAGCAATTAACATTGACAAATTCCAGCCTCATGGAGCAGATGATATGTCTCTGTGCTCCAGATCCAGACTGTGGACCAGCCCCATACCACTCATCTGGCCTGCTGGGCCACATAAATTGGGTACCACTGTATTATGAGCTACAGTATCATTTGAAATTCTATGTGCATCATTTCTCTTATACTCTTGCTTATTCTTAGTATAATGATTTAGAAATTTGTTCTCGAGTTATGTGAGGCAAGGATTCTTGTAAGTGATATCTTTTATTGGACTGATTAAATGGTTGGATAAAGTTAGACAAACTTTTGAATGCAAGGCATTCTGCATCAGGTCACTTCTCTTGAGTTAGTAACTTACACAGAGTATTTTCTGGAAATCATTCTGTAAATGTTGTCAGTCCCATTTTGTGCAGAGTTGGGTGTGGTTAAAGGTGGAGGAAAAAGGTGAGGAAGGCTTGTTGGAAGCAAAGCTACATTCACAGTATAGTAAGTTTGTAAAAAAATTTCTGAAATAAGACTCAGTGGGCTAAATATTCCTTGTTAATCTTAAGCATCTTTAAGTGTGCTGGGATTATCGAATATAATACTGGGTCCAATATATTTCCCAATAATGTGGTTTTAGAATCATCCTTTTAGAATGAGCACTACTGCAAATTTTGCTGGTATGAGGGTATCATGTGAGCTGCCTTAGATGAGATCCAAATTCTGGAGCTCCGTGGTCAGTCTTTGAAAATACTCAAATGCCTTCAGCAGTTTTGGACACACACGACCTAATTCTAGCCTCAGACACAGGGGTGCAGTTACCATTGTATTCAGTCTAAATGCTTTACACTGATGAAGATAAGAAAAGGCTTGACTGGGATAAAGAGACATAGAGAGAATCCACAGTCTCACTAGGCTGGTGAAATCTAGAGATAAAATATAACAGCCTTAGGGTTCAGTTTGTTAGAAAAACCTCTCACAGCATAAACTGCATTGTATTTTATTCTGTATATTTGAATATGTAACTAAGGGCAATGAAAATGGGTAGGTACCGGTATCCCTAATGGTCACGCTAAGTACAGACAGTCAAAAAGCTTGAGGCTGAATCAATTCAATCTTTGCAGCTTAGTCTAAACTGTATGGATTGAACCGATAAGCAAGTGAACAGACAATTCACTTTTGATTCTGGAAATGAAGCCACATGCCTGCAGTGGCCCAGGCCAGAAGTCAGAGGGTGCTAGAGCATGGCTCCCTGCTCGGCTGGAGCAGACAGCTTGGGCCAAGGCTAGCCTGCCCACAGTGCAAAGACAGGTGTGTGAGGAAGGTACAAAGCATCCTGGGACACTGGGGAACTGTGGGTTAACTTGAATCTGGAGGGGATCTGGGACAGAAGTTCAATAAATGGATTTAACCCAAATCATTTAAGTCTGATACTACATTCATTTAGGTTTATCTTAAACTGGTTTTGGCACCCTGAACTTCTATTGTGTTTCAGATTTGAATCAGTTTCCAATCACTTATACTGATTTATATGTAACTTCTGTCCTTAGACTTAGAGTTGGGCGGGGAAGGGAGGTTGGCTCTGGCCAATGTGAGGCTCCCTCTGACTCTAGGCTGCACCTGTTTCAGACACAGCAAAAAAACTAGCAGCTCAGTAAGAGGGCTAGTGTGACAGCTTTAAGTCACCCATCCATCCTGAAGTTTTGTTGCTTCAGAAGAGGCTCTTGGAGCAATTTAGTAGGGCTGTGTGAAATTTCACCGGTTGTTTCGTTTTGACACTGTTTCGACTCGTTTTTAGCTCAAAACAGCAAAATTGAAATGATACAAAGGGCTTCAAAACAGCCTCAAAATGAAATGATGGCAGTCAAAATGTTTTGAAAGTTTCGAAATGTTTCGAGTTTCGAAGCAGCCTGGCTGAATTCCCCTCCCAAGTGTTGCGATTGGACTGGGGAAGGGAACTCAGCTCGGTTGAGTTCCCTTCCCCAGCCCAATTGAAACCTTGAAACAGCATTGAAACAGCAAAATTGTTTCCATGAAACAGAATGAAACAGTGTTTTCAAAACAAAACAAAACACGAAACGAAGCACTGTTCTGTCAAAAAGTTGAAATGGATGTCAAAGCAGAATGCTGCTGTTTCACATAGTCCTACAATTTAGCTAGTCCCAGGAGCTGTTTCATTTAAAAGAAACAGTGCTGCCCAACATTTCTGCAATGTTGAATGCTGTGTCCGCATCTCTGGCATGTGCCTTCCATTCTCCAACTCCACCCTGTATGATGGAATTGGCAGGAATGTATTCAGAGGGCAGCCCTCAGGGCCATCACTGAAGTGTCTGTTGCAGAACAATGCTTCTTAGGTTGGTTTTGGGTTTATTTAGGTCCTGTGGTCCTGCTCTGGTCCTTTGAATTTGTGCAAAGGGATTGATGGGAAGTGGAAGTCACCATCTCTGTGTACCATAGTTCATTCATTTATACACTGATCTTTCCCAACCTCAGAGAGAGCCTCACAGAATTTAGAACTAGAGTATATCACTCTTATTCAAATTAAGTAGTACTACATGAATGGTCCCATGAGCTGTAGTCAGATAATCCACACACACACAAAAAACAATAAAAAAATATGGTGAGTAAAGGTGGCAAGATCCATTCCTGGTTTAATTAATTATTGTAAAATGATTTGAAATTGTTGTGTGATAAGTGCTAAAACAGAAATTATGATGATTAGAAGGGGCTGAAAATTTCAAATTTAAATTTTTTGATGAAAAAATGTAATGACTAGGGCTGTGCAAAGCTTTGAGTGCTGATTCGATTTAGAGGAGATTTGGCCCGATTCAGCCTGAATCAAATCATGAGACCAGTTAAAAGGTCCAAATCGATTTGAAGCTCTCCAAATCAATTTGGAGAAGATTCAGAGAGTTTTGGAGATTTGGGCAGTCCCTGTATTGGTAAGTAGGGGGTGGGCCAGGGAAGGCTGAAGATGGGGGGAGGGGGCCATGGGGCTGCTCCCCCAGCCCTCCTGAGTGCCCCCTGACCCCCGCCTGCTCTCCCAGCCCCCACCATGGCTGCCCTGCCTGGCCGACCCCAGCTCCTGGCTCTTTAAAAAAAGAAGCCCCCACTTACCGGCTGCTGCCAGGTGGGGGGGTGATCCCTGCTGCCCCCCACTGCCCCGTGCTGCATGGGGGGCTCTACCACAAGCCCCCCAACACCCACTCACTCACCCAGCCCCCCCTATGGCTGCCTCACCTGGCCCAGTTCCCAGCTCTTTAAAAAAAAAAAGCCCCACACTCACTGGCTGCTACAGCAGCCTCAGGGCTTCTGGAGGCTTGTTGCAGAGTCCCCCATGCAGCGTTGGGCAATGGGGGGGAAGTAGGGGTTGCCCCCCCCCGGCAGCTGCCAGGAAGTTGGGGCTTTTAAAAAAAAACCCCAAAACATCTGGGAGCTGGGCCCGGGAGAGCAAGCTGGGGATGGGGGCTCATGACAGAGTCCCCCATGCAGTGCAGGGCAGTGGGGGGCAGTGGGGATTGCCTCCCTCCCACCTGGCAGCAGCCGGTGAACACCGGGCTTTTTTTTTCAAAGAGCCGGGAGCTGGGGCTGGGTGGGGCAGCCATTGGCGGGGCTGGGAGAGCGGGCGGGGGATGGGGCCAATTCAGAGATTTGGCCGATTTGGTGGCAGCCGAATCTCTGAATCTGATTTGGCTAAATCGATTCAGATTTGAATCACCAAATTGAATCATGTCCCCCAAATTGGCCGAATCCAAAGTGAATACTAGCCGCTTTGCACAGGCCTAGTAATGACAGTTTTTGCAGAATACACTAATATTTTTGAGACGTTTGAACAGCACAAGAAAAACTGAAACCATTTTGATATTCTGTTTTCAGCAGTAGGTTTACTAGGGATGGCTGAGTGGGGCACTAGCCCCTGGCACCAATTTAGAAGAGGCACCATAATCACT